GAACTCGCTAGAAGAAGTGGTTAGAGGTGTTTGTTTGGGTTTAAACTGTTAGTAGATAGAGGTATGGGAATTGATTTGGAGGAAGGAGGTAATAAAAGTATGTGTTTGTGGGAGAAAGGAATTGGCAAAACGATCAGGGAAAGAGAAGGTCCGCAAAATAACAATTCACTTAGGGTATATTACACTAACAGTAGAAGTCTAAGAAATAAAATTAACGAATTAAATGCTCTTGTCTGCACAGAAAAAATAGATATTATTGCACTTACCGAAACGTGGATGAATGTAGAAAATAGAGAACTATTAGCTGAATATCAAATATATGGATTTAAACTATTTCACACAGATAGATATATTAGACGAAGAGGTGGAGTAGCCATATATGTTAGGGACAATTTGAAATGTAGTCTCAAAGAGGGAATCAAAAACAGAGCCACACACAGAAACTATTTGGATTGAATTAAACGAAAAAGCTAATAATATTATAATAGGAGTAATATATAGGCCACCAAATTTAGACAGAATGGAAGCAAAGCATCTATGGGATGAAATATCTAGAGCATCTAGATCTAACAGTATTTATGTCATGGGTGACTTTAATTTTAGCGGAATAAACTGGTTGAACAAAACAGGGAATAGTGAAGCAGAAGATTTTCTAGAATTAATTGACGATTGCTTTCTTACGCAACACATTAAGGAACCAACACGGGAAAATAATATTTTAGATTTAGTGTTAACTAACAGGGAAACGCAAATTAATGACATCGAAATAGGGAGTGAGCTAGGGAGCAGTGATCACAAAGAAATCAGATTTAGCATAGAATGGAATAGACCAGTAGGAGAAAATTCTGTTAAAGTGCCAGATTTTCGAAAAGCTGATTTTAATAGCCTAAGAAATTTTTTGGGTCAAATTGATTGGAAAGGCTTGGGTATGGGGTGTGGGCCGGTCTTGGAGCGAGACATGAACCCAGCGATAGGTGACTTAAATGGGGATTTCGATGTGGATTCAATATATAACTTATTTAAGAATATTCTAAACAAAGCACAGGAACGTAGTATACCATACAAATTGAATAGATCGTATACTAATAACCCAAAGTGGATAACAAAGAATTTGAAGAACCTTATAGGTAAAAAGAGAGCTTGGTACAAAAGGATTAAAAATGGGGAGGTCACTTTAGAACAGGAATTCGTACAACTGGTTAGAAATGTTAAAAAAGAGATAAGGAAAGCAAAAAGAAACTATGAAGTTCGCATAGCAGGGCAAGCAAAGACAAATCCTAAAGGGTTTTTTCAGTTATATCGTACTAAGACTAGGGAAAGGATAGGTCCATTAAAAACTGAGACAGGTCAAATAACAGATAGTGATGAAGAGATGAGTAGTATTTTTAATAAATATTTTGTATCTGTATTTACTAAAGAGGAACTTAACAATATGCCTTCAGCCGAACAAGTCTATGTGGGTGGGGACGAGGACAGGTTGACGAGTTTAGCAGTTACCAGGGAGGATGTTCTTAAACAAATAGTAAAACTCAAACCAAACAAATCCCCAGGGCCGGATGAAGTGTTTGCTAGGGTGCTTAAAGAATGCAAAGAGGAGCTTTGTGACCCACTGTCAACCATATTTAATAAATCAATAGAGTCAGGCAGAGTGCCAGAGTTTTGGAAAGTTGCTAATGTGATACCAGTTTTTAAGAAAGGAGATAGATCACTTGCGTCTAACTATCGACCAATTAGCCTAACGTCTATTGTGGGAAAGTTACTCGAATCTATAATAGCAAATTAAATTCGTCTTCATCTTGAAAAACATAAATTAATAATTGAGTCGCAACATGGTTTTATAAATGGCCGTTCATGTTTAACAAATTTGTTATCTTTTTATTCTAGCATTGTTGAGGCAGTTGATAGTGGTAAGGATTGCGATGTTGTATACCTTGACTTTAGCAAAGCTTTTGATACAGTGCCACATGAAAGACTGATTAAAAAAATAGAGTCTCATGGTATTGGGGGTGCTATATTAAGCTGGATTAGGGCATGGCTATACCAAAGGAAACAGAGAGTTAGTATAAATGGAATCAAGTCAGAGTGGGAAAATGTTGTAAGTGGAGTGCCTCAAGGCTCTGTCCTGGGACCTCTGTTGTTTATAATATATATAAATGATTTAGATTCAGGTTTGAGTAGCAACATTTGCAAATTTGCCGATGATACGAAAATCGGTAGGGAAATTAATTCGGAGGAGGACTCACTATCACTTCAAGTTGATCTAGATAGGGTTTTGAAATGGTCAAAGGATTGGCAGATGCAGTTTAATGCTGATAAATGTAAAGTTCTGAGGTTAGGTAATGATGATAGAGTTACAAGATACGAGCTAGATGGTGTTGTGATTGCGAAGTCGGATTGCGAAAGGGATCTGGGAGTTATGATTAGTAAGAATTTAAAACAAAAGGATCAATGCATAAATGTTCGTAATAAGGCAAATCGGACACTTGGATTTATTAATCGCAGCGTTAGTAACAAGACACCTGGTGTGGTTCTCAAGCTATATCTTGCTCTAGTTAGGCCCCATTTAGATTATGCAGTTCAGTTTTGGTCGCCATATTATAGAATGGATATAAATTCACTTGAACGTGTCCAGCGTAGGATGACTAAGTTAATTCCCCAAATTAGAAATCTTTCATATGAAGAAAGATTAACAAAGCTTAAGTTGCATTCACTGGAAAGGCGAAGAGTTAGGGGTGACATGATAGAGGTTTACAAGTGGATGAATGGACATAACCGGGGGGATATTAATAGGGTATTAAAAGTATCAACACAGGACAGAACACGAAACAATGGATATAAATTGGATAAGTTTAGATTTAGGAAAGACTTGGGTAAATACTGGTTCAGTAACAGGGTTGTTGATTTGTGGAACCAATTGCCGCGTAACATTGTGGAGGTGGGGTCCCTCGATTGTTTCAAGCACGGGTTGGACAAGTATATGAGTGGGATTGGGTGGTTATAGAATAGGAGCTGCCTCGTATGGGCCAATAGGCCTTCTGCAGTTACCTTTGTTCTTATGTTCTTATGTTCTTATGTCCGTCCTGGACCATTCTCAAGTCCAGGTCGTCCCTTCACCTTCTAGTGAAGGGACGTCAAGATTGTCGTCGTCCCTACACCTTCTAGTGTGTTGTCTGGTCAACATTCTGCAGATTGATTGATGAAGATTAAGCCACCCAAAAGGTGGCACGGGCATGAATAGCCCGTAAGTGGTGGCCCTTTTGAGCCATTACCAGTATCAAGAGCTGATACTGGAGATCTGCGGAGGTGCGACTGCACCCTGCTTGACGGGAGATGTCTCCCGTGAATGTTGGAACATTCTGCAGTTACCTTTGTTCTTATGTTCTTATGTTCTTATGTCCGTCCTGGACCATTCTCAAGTCCAGGTCGTCCCTTCACCTTCTAGTGAAGGGACGTCAAGATTGTCGTCGTCCCTACACCTTCTAGTGTGTTGTCTGGTCAACATTCTGCAGATTGATTGATGAAGATTAAGCCACCCAAAAGGTGGCACGGGCATGAATAGCCCGTAAGTGGTGGCCCTTTTGAGCCATTACCAGTATCAAGAGCTGATACTGGAGATCTGCGGAGGTGCGACTGCACCCTGCGTGACGGGAGATGTCTCCCGTGAATGTTGGAACATTCTGCAGTTACCTTTGTTCTTATGTTCTTACCGGTGGTGGTGTCAGTGTACTCCTTAATCAAGGCTCCACATCCTGCCTTTCCGTCCTTATGTACCGAGCCATTACAATAAACATAATACGTGTAGGGTGTTTAATATAATTTGTTATATTATTATACATTGGCATATTACCTTCAAGTCCTGGCTCGTACATACTCTTCTTCAGCTGGTGAACACTCTCCACCTCTGCTCTACACTGCACACGTGATGGTGGTAATTGTTCCGTAGGTAATGAAATACATTCTTACAAGACATTATATTTTGTAACAGAAAGATTGTCTGATGATGATTGATGAAGATTAAGCCACCCAAGAGGTGGCACGGGCATGAATAGCCCCTAATTGTAACAGAAAATATAATTCTCACAAATCACCTCTTGTTATACATTAAAATACAATGTTAATTTCTTTCCGCCTTTTGAACTAAGAGGATTGATTCATCAGCTCCCTCTCCTCTCATTAGTCGAATCCGCGAGGCTACATTTATCTCAGAAATTATATCCCAAATATTTGGGGATATAATATATAAAGTTCACTTCCAAAATTATCTCAAACATAACATTTCTTGGACATCCTAAAATTATTCGCATGACTTCGTTTTGCACGTTCTCCAGTTTGTTTAGTCTACCTTAATCGAAACAGGAAATGGCAAGTGCACGGTCCTTACTAATCATCACGCCAAGATCATTGTCCAGCAGGTATCTGGGAAAATCCACTACGGGCTCACCATAGCCTGTGCTACTGGAACTCTGTGTTCCAAGTAGCTGAATCTAAAACAACATCGTACCTGGGTACTATTTTATTCTTACCTGAGACCAGAATCTGACAGTTTCCATCATTAAACTGCATCTGCCAGTCGTATTCAATTTGAAAGCATCGTCCTGCAGCGATTTTACACTTTCGAATTTGTTTATAATCTTATTTTTGTATATCTGCAGTTAGTTCTTATCAATATGTATGTATGGTATGGTGCATACATAATATGTATGTACGGTAAACAACAGAGGACCAAAAACAAAACCCTGGGGCACGCTCCATTTATACGAACTCACTATTTGGGTGGCTATAAACAGAGGCTGTCTAGTATGGACCAACAGCCCTACAAAAGCTCTTTATTCTCATTCCCATGCAACATCATGAAAGCCTAATGACATAACCCGAGGTGAGGTGTCCGTAGAGCTTTATATCGTTGACGGCGCGTGACTGTCAATAACTGATTGGCTCCGAGATGGGATTCTGGGTCCACTCTCAGGCCAGGATACCACCAGTCCACCCCTAGACACCGTCCCGGTAGGATCAAGCGTCGCTCTCATCGCGTCTGGATGAACAAAAAATCTTCGTCAAAAATCTGTGATATTTGAAAGACTTTGGATGTTTGAAGGGGAAGTCATATGAAGCTTCAAGATACGTCTGAAACGCAAGCTATAAATTTGGGGGGTTGGAAAAGTCCCAAGGAATATATATTGAAGTGTAATTAAGAAAACCGCACTTTAGGCTACTGGAACAACAATGATCTCTTTAAATCAGGTGAGTGTCTTAAGCATTTGTTTGGTGTTGATTTGATGTCGTGAAACATCGCTTTCCGCGGTTGCTGATTGATGGAACAAAATTACCTTAATAGACGTGTGGGGTTCCAACATATGCGCTGAGTGTTCCCAGGCGCGCCTTAGTCAACAGTACCACAACATGGTCAAAAGAATTGCAACCTAGAGTGCTACGGCACCCACGAGGGTCCCGAGGCTTCGACTGAAGCCTCCCTTTCACACAATTGCCCCCATGCACTCCGTGTTAGATACATATACTAGGATGTTCCCTGTGTTAGATACTTATACTAGGGTGTTCTCTATGTTAGATACATATACTAGGGTGTTCCCCTGTGTTAGATACTTATACTAGGGTGTTCCCTGTGTTAGATACTTACACTAGGGTGTTCCCTGTGTTAGATACTTACACTAGGGTGTTCCCTGTGTTAGATACTTACACTAGGGTGTTCCCTGTGTTAGATACTTATACTAGGGTGTTCCCTGTGTTAGATACTTATACTAGGGTGTTCCCTGTGTTAGATACTTACACTAGGGTGTTCCCTGTGTTAGATACTTACACTAGGGTGTTCCCTGTGTTAGATACTTATACTAGGGTGTTCCCTGTGTTAGATACTTACACTAGGGTGTTCCCTGTGTTAGATACTTACACTAGGGTGTTCCCTGTGTTAGATACTTATACTAGGGTGTTCCCTGTGTTAGATACTTACACTAGGGTGTTCCCCTGTGTTAGATACTTACACTAGGGTGTTCCCCTGTGTTAGATACTTACACTAGGGTGTTCCCCTGTGTTAGATACTTACACTAGGGTGTTCCCCTGTGTTAGATACTTACACTAGGGTGTTCCCCTGTGTTAGATACTTACACTAGGGTGTTCCCTGTGTTAGATACTTACACTAGGATGTTCCCTGTGTTAGATACTTACACTAGGGTGTTCCCTGTGTTAGATGCTTATCGAGGATGAGTCCACTATCTCCTGGCGTGAACACAATGTATAATGTATACCGTTATCATGTCTCCGCCCCTCATCTGAATCCCCCACCCCAGCTAGTCCCCCACGCTCTACGCCCCCCAGCCCCTTCCCTCTTTAAATAAATCTACACCAGCTTGAATTTATTTAAGGTAAAATGGGTTGTGAAAGCACATACATTGATAATTCAGTGGTACATTCTTGCAAAGCCACTAACACGCATAGCGTTTTGGGCAGGTCCGTAAGGTAGCCGGTAAATGTAATGATTATCAATAATGGTAATTATTATTGTATTTTCTAATAATTATTATATAATTACACATTATATAGTGAGTTACATAATTATATAGTGAGTTACACAAAATTATAATTATATTGTAATTATATAGTGAGTATACACAGAGATCACATTAACGTGATGCATCAAATGAACAAATCCACAAGGGCCTTGACGAGGATTCGAACCTGCGTCCAGGAGCATCCCACACACTGCCTTAATCGACTGAGCTACGACTCTTTTACTGATGCCTTAATCGACTGAGCTTTCAACTTTTTTACCCTGTCGTAGCTCAGTCGATTAAGGCAGTGTCTGGGATGCTCCTGGACGCAGGTTCGAATCCTCGCCACGGCCCTTGTGGATTTGTACACTAGTGAGTGTAACACTTACACTATTATAATTACAATATAATGATAATTATATTGTAATTATGTATTATATATTGTATATTATAATTAACATAATTTGAATTCATATAGTAACTATCTCAGCATAAATACACGGAGGATGACAAAGAAATTAGTGAAATCCTAAAAAAGCAGTACGTATGAGGACATGTTTAGCACTCCAATAAACAACATGAAAGTGGAAGATCCAGACAATTTCTTTATGCGGGATATTTAAACCCTTGTAAATATAACTGATATCAACACGAGCGCACTAAATTTTGAAAGAGAAATTGAAAACATGCCCAGTCCTTGCACCGTTGCTTTTTCTTATTCTCATATCAGATATAGACAAAAATACAAGTCACAGCTTCGTATCATCCTTTGCAGATGACAGTATGTCATCTGCAAAGTAATCTGCAGAAAATCAGTATGAAAATTATCTCGGCTGAAGACATTAAAAAACTTCAAGCTGATATTAATAAAGTTTTCGACTGGGCATCAGAAAATAACATGATGTTTAACAGTGATAAATTCCAGGTACTCAGGTACGGTAAAAATAAGGACCTTAAACATAATACAGAGTACAAAACACAATCAAATGTACCCATAGTAGGAAAACAGCATGTAAAGGATTTGGGAATAATAATGTCTGACGACCTAACGTTTAAGGAGCATAACCAAGCAAATACTGCGACAGCCAGAAAAATGATAGGATGGATTACGAGAACTTACGAGAAATCCAGGGATCCCATCACAATGGTTGTACTCTTCAAGTCAATTGTGTTGTCCCGTCTTGAGTACTGCTCAGTACTCCCTTCCCCCTTCAGAGCAGGAGAGATTGCTGAAATAGAGGGAATACAGAGAACATATACGGCACGCATAGACGAGAAAGAAGACGAGAGAGATATCAAATAATATACACCTGGAAGATACTGGAGGGCCAAGTACCAAATCTACACAGTAAAATAACAACGTACTGGAGTGAACGATATGGAAGAAAATGCAGAATAGAACCAGTGAAGAGCAGGGGTGCCATAGGCACAATCAGAGAACACTGTATAAACATCAGAGGTCCCCGGTTGTTCAACGTCCTCCCAGCGAGCATAAGAAATATTGCCGGAACAACCGTGGACATTTTCAAGAGGAAACTAGATCTATTCCTCCAAGGAGTGCCGGACCAACCGGGCTGTGGTGGGTATGTGGCCCTGCGGGCCGCTTCAAGCAACAGCCTAGTGGACTAAACTCTCACAAGTCAAGCCTGGCCTCGGGCCGGGCTTGGGGAGTAGAAGAACTCTCAAAACCCCATCAACCAGGTATAAAATGATTAAATAAATTATACTAATGAAGGTGGATTTGTATACTGTCCTGTGTCTACATTCTCCCCCGCAAGGCTATGGCCGTTTGCCAGTATGGCCGAATTTGGACGTAATTTGAAAATGAAAAAAAAATGAAAATAAATTTGGGATTTTTTTTCAACAACAGTAAGTTAAGGGTCCTCTGATAGGTTAGGTGGGCAGGAAATTCTCATAAAGTTTCAAAACGTTATGAAAAACGTTAATTTAAAGTGTCCTCTTATAACCTCTGCGCGTACGCCGGACGACTCAAATAGAAAACGGAACAGAACGTCACTTTTGTGAGTCGATTTCATTTCAAATTACGTCCAAATTTGGCCATAGTGCGCATACGAGCCAAAAGTGACGTTATTTTTAAGAGGACTGGTTGGTGAGAGGGGGGTACTACACTGGGTGAGAGGGGGTACTACACTGGATGAGAGGGTGTACTACAACAAGGACCTATAGGTTGGGTGGGTTGCTTGGGTGTGCACGCTTGTAGTCAAGAAAAACCACTTCAACTGTGACTCTTGACAACGGGCTGGCCAACAGTCGTGACCTGTTATCGTTATCTCAAGTACTTTCGGTCCTTGGTACACTATCTTGCATAGTTCGAACCTGTTATCATTTACAAGTGTGTTATCGGTATTTATTAGGCAACTCAAACAATAATAGTCGCCTAACAGATTACGCTTTCGTAACTGTGTATTTCAAACAGACTTGACATCAAACCTCGACGTGACAGACGCTACTCTAAACACGAAGATTGATTGATTGATGAAGATTAAGCCACCCAATAGGTGGCACGGGCATGAATAGCCCGTAAGTGGTGGTCCTTTTGAGTTATTACCAGTGTCAATAGATGATACTGGAGATCTGTGGAGGTGCGACTGCACCCTGCGTGACGGGGGATGTCTCCCGTGTAAGCAGGAAGATCGGTTCAAACATTTTATAACGAGAACTGAACTGGCTAATTAAGTCTACGGATAACACAACCAATATTTCAGAGTCGACTTCATGAAACTCGCATGGGGCGTGTGTTGGGTTTAGACGCCGTAATTTCTTAACATGTGACACTGAAGCCGACCCCCGACTGGCCTATGACATTCCCATACTCCACATGTTTCATATGTCAAAGTTGAATGAGGCTAGCCCCAAACATCTGGCCTCTAAACAGTTTATTTACCTATAATAACCAGGTTATTAGAGATTGTCTAAACATTTCTTTCAAGTGCATTTTATGTTAAGAATTCGAAAAAAAAATTATAATTCGGCATACTTTAAAATAAAATATTTTTTTCTTACATAAGGTACAAGACAGTAGGCTTGTCGGTCCAGGGGGGGGGATAAAAACACTGTAGTAGGCCTATTTTCCCAGCATTCTTGTATATATTTAAACTCACTAAGGTATTCGCTTCTGTGATGTAGTCTGGCAATTTTTGTTTTTTTAGTAGAATGCCTAGAAAATATAATTCTTAATATATCTAATTTGTGTACGTTTTCACTTGCTCTGTTTCTATTGACCATTTTCTTTTTTTTTGTACTTTTCAAACGTTTCTAGAATTCAATCGTAATTTCTATAGCTCTAAGCTCTTCCAGATAATCTTTTCTAGCTCTAAGCTTTTCCAGATAATCTTTTCTAGCTCTAAGCTTTTCCAGATAATCTTTTCTAGCTCTAAGCTTTTCCAGATAATCTTTTCTAGCTCTAAGCTTTTCCAGATAATCTTTTCTAGCTCTGAGCTCTTCCAGATAATCTTTTCTAGCTCTAAGCTCTTCCAGATAATCTTTTCTAGCTCTAAGCTTTTCCAGATAATCTTTTCTAGCTCTAAGCTCTTCCAGATAATCTTTTCTAGCTCTAAGCTCTTCCAGATAATCTTTTCTAGCTCTAAGCTCTTCCAGATAATCTTTTCTAGCTCTAAGCTCTTCCAGATAATCTTTTCTAGCTCTAAGCTCTTCCAGATAATCTTTTCTAGCTCTAAGCTGTTCTAGATAATCTTTTCTAGCTCTAAGCTCTTCCAG